ATGATTCAAAAAACAAATTTTCCTTCATTAATGATCATATGTTCTACAAAGAACTCAATTAGCTCCAGAATTTATCCAACATTATTTGCTATAAAAATGCCAAAAGTGTTCCAAAAGCGGCTTAAAACATTTATCTTCCAAATATAAAATATATATGGCATGATTTTCTTTTGTGTTATTTCGGATTTCTACAATAATTCCACTGCCTATAAAATTATTCAGCTTTTAAAGTTAATAACTGATTAATATTAGTATAACAATTTTCAGAAGAAAACAATTAATCATTATTATTTTAAAATTAGACATCAATATGCTATGTTTTGTAAGGCAAAGAACTACAAATGTTTTGACTGGAGTAAATGAAATACTACAATTCAAAAGTTTTAGGTACTAAAATAAATCATCAATACTTAAATGACATTCATACCTGACAACCAGAGAAAAATGGTATTCCCTAGATCTTCTTTAAATTCATCATTAAACAGATTACTGGATTCTGGAAATGCTTTCTGGAATGTTGCATAGATAGCTTGTGCCAAACAATCAGGATACAACTACCAAAAATAGTCATATTAGAATAATTTCATATAACATATCTCAACTACCAAAAAATTATTATTTGTGAACTATATGTGTCCTTTTTTCCTTATAGCTTGCTTTTTGCCATTTATTACTTCTTTGTACCTCTCATTGAGGAATATGAAGAAAGCAGAGCTGAAAATAAAGTCAGCCAATTTGTGTATGTGTTAGCATTTTGGGAAAAATTTTAATTTGGGTAAAGGATGAATTAAGAAAAGTTTTGATGATTCTACATTTATTTCATTTAACCTTTCTATTCATATCCTCTTTCACAAAACAGGATCTCCTCTTTCAAGTCATTATAATAAAAAGCATACATTTTTTAAATTGAAATATATTTGACATGCAAATGTGTAAGTTTAAGGTATACATGTTGATTTGATACATTTGTTTACCACCTTAGCATTAGCTAACACTCTATCACATCATGTGTGTGGTGAGAATAACGAGCATGTTTGAAAATAATTGAAGCTCACCTGTTTAGGTGAGTTAATGTATTATAATAACAACTTAAAACCATCATCAGATATCAACAAATGGCACTAAATAGTATTCTATTAGACTTAAAATCCCTAAATTACATAGTGACTAAATACAGAAAGATACTAGATTTTTATATTAAAGGTTTAAAATATTTTTATTTACTGTTTTGGTATTCTGCATTCAAAAAGTATTTACAAATATTTAGCACTTAATAATGTGAAAATAATGTAAAATTTTAGAATTGGAAGGGACCTTAGAGGTCGCTGTCCCAATTCCTGAAACCTATAAATGTTAATTTATAAGCCTGCAAAAGGGCTTTGCAGGTATCATTAAAGATCTTGAGATGGAGAGATCATTGTAGATTATCTGGTGGGCCTCAAATGTAATCATAAGTGTCCTTATAAGAGGGAGGCCGAGGAAAATTTTACTATAGAAGAGGAAAAGGCAATGTGGAAGAAAGAGAGACTGGAGGGATGTGAACAGAAGCCAAGGAATGCTGGCAGCCACCAGAAACTGGAAGAGGAAAGGAATGGTTTCTCCCCTGGTGCCTCTTAAAGAAACTAGCCCCACTGACACCTTGACTTTAGCCCTAGAACAGCATACACACACAGCCACTAAGTTTGTGATAACTTGTTACAGCATCAATAGGAAACTACACAGTCACCTAAACCAGTAATGTTCAAATCTGCTGGTAAGTGATGGCATTCTTTGAAGAACTTAATTGGGGGGGCGGGGTGGCAGACAAGAGAGGAGCAGAAGGGAGAATGCTCTAATACACTGATATATTTAATTTTATTGAATAAACCATGAACATTTTTACTACCATATACAAACATATATCATAATTGTGGTATATAAAATCATACTAAAATTGAAATTAAAATGTTGGAAAAGGTGAGTAAGGGGAGCTTTTGAAAGTTTTCTGTGACTATCTCACCTTTGGGAGATTAGAGGTAAAAGGGATCAAGTGTCAGTGTTGGGAAAATTTCTGAAGGATTATCACTATGTGACATTGAAAGATAGTGAAGTATAAGCCATACTAAATATGTTTAGATTCAGTTAATTTGTACTCAGTAGGTGAGACCAGAAGATGATTTTTTGATTCTTAAATATTCATAGATCTCTCTCTCTCTGGTTGGATAAATCTGATGAGCCTATAGTAATAAAACCTCACCTATTTGAGTGAGTTAAAAATAATGGAAATTGGTCAATGAGATGAAGTGCTATTTCCACTTAAATAGCTCTGGAGGCAACAGACCTGTAGGAAGGTGGCCTGGTTTTTTAGCATAGAAACAGGGAAAGGGAGTATTATAAGAAGACTGAACACAGGTCACGGGGTCAGATCACTAAGGTGTACTTTGTACTTCTTGTTTGTTCTCAAGTGAAGCTTTGAATCTTGGTTAAACACCTTCTAATTTCTCCTCAGAAAAAGTCACTGAACATAGGGATTTAGGAAAAAAATCAAAAAGCATATTCATCCCAAGAGAGAACATTTGGACCATAAATGTAGGACAAGAAATGAGAGAATGAGAGATATGCAATGGTGCCACTACTTCCTTCTTTGTTCACGGTAAATAGACCTTTTATCCCTAAGAGCCCTGTGTTAAAGCACGCTTGACTTCATCAAACCATGCAAATAGGCAGGACACACCACAAAAGCACAGACTTGGTGAAAGATTATGGATAGGAGAAACAGCTGGGTTTGTCATCTCTAGATAACTTAATTACCAAAAATCCTAACCATTAACTCATTTTTCCCCCTCAAGTGAGAAATTTAATATTAGCAGAGAAAATCCTAGTCTATCTTTCAGAACATCAGAGTTCTACAAAGCAATTCATGAATCATGGATCTAATCAACCTCTTCATCTGATGGACAACCGGCTTTGGAACTGAGAGACTGCAGGGCTTGCCAGGATCACCTGGGTAATTAGCAGCAGATTCCAGTCATAAAGTTAAGTCTCCTTATTCCCAGGCCACTACAGGTTTCCTTCTTTGACACTGCATGTGTATGTTGTAAGATAGCTCAAGATTGAACATAAATATTTGGCAATTTAGGTTTATGTTTTCATCATGAAGGATATTTATTTTTACTTTAGGTTTTACCCATGGAAACATGTACTGACTCCAAAATATTTACATATTTCTGATTTACAAATGTCAACACAACAAAGTACTTGAATGTGGCTTCTCCTTTGAAATGCTAGATGTTTACATTTTGAAATACTCAATGAAATTCCTACATATTTTCATTTCGCATTACTCAAGAACATCAATTTTTTAATCAAATTATTTTTATCATAGACATAGTAAAACAAACATTTGATTCATAAATTTGTCCTTTATCACATCAGGTACTTAGTATTTAGGCTTAACATAAACTTGTTAAGTCCTCTTAGAACAAAAGATATAAAGTAAAATGAAAATGATAATTTTATAGATAAAAAGAAATATCAAATATATACATGGAATAAGCCAATAGTTTTCAAAATTACTAACATGCAAACAAATACCTATACCACATTAAGGAGATTCTGTAAGGTTTTTAGTCAGTAAAATACAATATTCTGGGGTGAGGGGCATAACTTAAAATATTACCATTATTTACTCTACTTCAGGCAATTTTGCTCTGAGTAACAAAGTATGTTCTCATATGTATTAAGTAAAATAACTTTTTATATTTCATGTGCTGTAAAGAATAATTAGCATAACTATTTAATTTGTATGGTTACCTGAAAGAATGCATCCTTTCGACTTAGAGGTACGCTCATGAAAAGTGACACATAACTTTCTGAAATTCTATCAAACAGGAAGTCTTGATTTTCTCTGTCAGGCTTGAGAAATAAAACATGAATGGGATTTAAATTATTAATATTACAATTTAAAGTTAGAATTTGCATAACATCAGTAATTCCACCTATTCTTAAAGGGAGCTCAGTTGCTATAGAGGAATGAGCATAGGTTTTAACATCATGAGGACCTGAATTTGAATGCTGGCTCCGTTATTCATTAGCTGCACTATCCCGGGGCAAGTTAATTAAGTACTGGTTTCCTTATCCACCAAATGTAGGTAATATATACATATCTTAAAGTAGTATCTTAAAATTAAATACGGACAGGGATCATGTTTTGTTTGACTTTGTATTTCAAGCTCTCAGCACAGTACCTGGCACACAGAAAGCAAACATTTGATGAATTAATGAAGGTTCTTGAATAGTAGTCGACACGCAGAAGACAATCAATAACTTAGTTGCCTTCTATTATTCTATAACCATTCCAACTCTTTCATCATCAGTAACTTAGTATAAAATTAAAGTGACTGCTGGGATGAGACAGCCATTGCCAGAACTGGTAAAACTGTGACATGATAGCTAAACTAAAAACAATGTAAGGAGAATGCTGTAAGGAAGCAATCTGTAGTTAATAGTAATGTCAGTATTGAAGTGCTAATGTAGCACCTTGAATTCTTGCTCTATTAAGCAATGGAGAGATAAATCAGAGTCCAATACTAGGAATTAAGCAATAAAAACGAATTAAAGAGTCCAAATTCATTTATGATGTCAACTGCAGCACAAGCTGGCATTAATAAGTTCTGGTAATAAAATTTTAAAGTTATCAAATTTAGTGGTAGTTTTCCATGAAATTAGCAAGCCAAATGACCTGGGATTCATAAGTGCTTAGGATCCAAGACTTAAAATGCAAGTTAGTTATCACTAAGATTAAGTCTCTCTATTTTGGTGATTGCATTGATACTCAAAAAGAGTAAGAGAATTATTTAAGGTTATATATACATAGTTATGTAACTAAGAGCCAGACTAGAATCTAGGTCTCCTTACTCCCAATCCAGGTCTCATGTTTGTGTTAATAAGTTTATGGAAGGAGTAACAGAAATAATGATAATGTTAGTAGTTAAAAATTCAATTATATAATAGGCAGTGGTTCTAAAATGTAGGGTTGTATGAGAATAAAATGAGATTATATACATATATTATTATATATATAAATATGTATATATATATATAAAATTTACTAATAAACAAACTTGGCATGTTTCAGCTACACAATCTACACTTAATATGTATGGAGAAAAAAAATTTACTCAAACAGAAGTTCCAGAATATGTCTTGGATACAATTCAACAATTCAATAATACAGTTCAGCCTAAAGTCCTCACCATATCTACCACCACAGGAAACTGAGTAGCAAAATGGTATGGTAAATTTTTGATACGCTTGAAAAGAAACTATATCCTCTAGCTGTTGGATATTCAGGTTACTGATATGTTCATTAGGTCTAGCTATTTAACATATGTTAAATCATACTTCCATTCCAGGAATACATCTCATTGCTCAGAGTGTATAATCCTTTTAATATACTGCTAAATTCACTTTGCTGGTATTTTGTGGAGGATTTTTACATCAATTTTCATCAAAGAGGTTACTGGTCTGTAGATTTTTTTTGTCCTTATAGTATCTTGGGCTTTAGTACGAGGGTAACGTTGGCCACTTGGAATGAGTTAGAAAGTGTTTCCTCCTCTTCAGGTTTTGGAAGAATTTGAGAAGGACTGGTATTAATTCTTCTTTAAATGATGGTAGAATTCATCAGTGAAGCCAACTGGTCCAGGGCTTTTCTTTGTTAGGTTTCTGATTACTGACCAAATCTCCTTACTCGTTACAGGTCTGTTCACATTGTCTAGTTCTTCAAAATTCAGTCTTGGAAAATTACGTATTTCTAGGGATTTGTTCATTTCATACAGGCCATCCAATTTGTTACTATACATTTGTTTATAGTACTTTTATAATCCTTTTCATTTCTTTGCTAATAGGAACGTTCCCACTTTCATTTCTGGTTTCAGTAATTTGAGTCTTTTCTCTTTTTTTCTTTTTTCTTAGTCTACCTACAGGTTTGTTAATTTTGTTGATCTCAAAAAACTAACTTTTGTTTTCACTGATTTTCTCTGCAGTTTTTCAATTCTCTATTTTATCTATCTAATCTTTGTTATTTTCTTCCTTCTGTTAGCTCAGGGTTCAATTTGTTGTTCTTTTACTAGTTCCTTATGTAAAGATATGTAGTTCCTTATGTAAACATGCAAAGTTAGACTGTTGATATATTGCTTTTTGATGTATTTACAACTATAAATTTCTCTTTAAATCACTCTTCTGCCACATCCCACAAGTTTTGGAATGCTGAGTTTTGTTTTCATTTGTCTCAAGGTATTATCGAATTTCTCTTGTGATTTCTTTGAGTCATTGGCCGTTTAGGAACTTGGATACATTAACAATGGGAGAATAATTTGTACATCCAGTTGGAAACAACTTGGCATTATCTTGTTAAATTGAACACTTTCATACCCAACAATGCAGCAATTCCACTCCTTACATATCTTGTAATTTATGTTTGAGAGCTGGACTTTATTTAATAGGAGACTAAAACCTGAGGCATCCAGTATTTACGCTTAGGAATAGGCTTATCGCTTTTGTTAGCCTTTAGGGGTTTGAGTCAATTAAGCCAAAATGTTAAGCTGTATTTGGGTTTTGTTTTTGCTGTGGTTACTTTCAGTGAAACATATGCTTCAAATTCCTCCTGCATTATCTTGTTTTTAGGATTCTTGAAGAACCAGATTTTTGAATTCATTTCCTCTAATTCCTTCTGTTTTTCTTTTTATTGGTTTTCTCTCTCATATTCATTATTTCCTTTCTTCTGCTTCCTTTGGTTTTCATTTCTTTCTCTTCTAGTTGCCTATGGTAGAAGCTTAGGTCATGGTTTTCGAGAACTTTCCTTACTTTGAATTCTGGCCGTTTAAAGCTCTAAATTTCCAAACACTGCTTGAGTTACAGCCACAAATCTGAATCTATATTTTCATTTTCAAGAAGTTTAAAATACTTTTCAATTTCCCTATTGATTTCTGGTTTGACCTACAGTTCCTGAGAAGTGTGTTATTTAGTTTCCAAATATTTGAATATTTCCCAGATAGCTTTGTTATTCATTTATAATATAATTCCATTTTGATGTAAAAATATACTTCGTATGACTCGAAGTCTTAAAATTATTAGGATGTTTTCCTAGCCCAGAATATAGTTGGTAAAGGCTTAAAGTGTACTTGAAAAAAATAAGTATTCTGCTGTTGTCAAGAATGTTTAATAAATATCAATTAGATCCATCAAATTGGTGAACAGTGTTGCTCAAGTCATCTGTATCATTCTATATCATTACTGATTTTCTTAACATATTACCAATTATTGAAATGAGGTGTTGAAATACATAACTATACTTATGGATTTGTCTATTTCTACTTAAAGTTTTAAACATTTTCATTAAATGTATTTCAACGCATTTTAATTAGGTGTATAAATATTTATGATTGTTAGGTCATATTGATGAATTCACTACTTTATCATTATATAATTATTCTCTTTTTCCCTGGCAACATTCTTTGCTTTGAAATTTGCTCTGCATAATGAGTTCAAAAAAGTTGTGATTTTGTAGGTTATATATGGCTTGTCTTCGTTGCTATATGGGTAGAAGTGATACACTTTTCTGCCTTCTGAATCTTTTTTGGAGCCAAAGTCCCAAGGCCAATTTTAAAAACATTAAGGGTATATCATTATTGGAATTCTTCTAGTTAAACACTGTCAGGGAAACTTTTGTCATTAGCCTATACATCGGCTAGAAATTTTTGCAAGGTTGTGCTCTCACTACCAGTAGAATTACAATAACAGCAACAATAATAATAAAAGTTGGGCACTTACTATATACCTACTTCTATGTAAAGGAACAACTTCACATCCATTTTCTAATTCCCAATAAACAAATAAGGTAGGTAATTTTTTAATTTTATGAAAGACTTTGAATAGTTATTTATCTAACTCACATCATTTCCCAAGTAGATAAACTAGTTTGTAAAAGGCTGATCTTGATTCTATTATATTGAATCCCATATTACATTTATGTAGTATTTCAGAGTTTACTAGGAATGTTATTCATGTCACTTTTAGTACAAAAAACTTAAAGGTGTATGCTATTTTTAGCTGTTTTTTAAAAATTTTTATTTTGTTTTAGAGATAAGTAAAGCTCAGAGAGATGTGACTAGCCCAAAGTCTCACACTACTGGGAAAACAAGATTTAAAATTTTAGTTTCCTAGATACAAGTCCAGCACTTTTACTACTAGATCAAGCTACCACTAGATCATAGGCAATAAAGGCAGTTTGCTTTTATATCACTCATCTAACAATGACTGAAACAAGTTTTAGAGCCAGCATGCTGAAGCAGGCTATATTCTAGAGCAGAATTACACGTTTTTTTCTTATTACACTATTGGTAATTCAATTGTACAAGTGGCTCAGGGTTCTATTCCAGCTGTAGTTATGAAGTCAGTACTGTTTTCATTCATAAAGTAGATCCCAAAATAGACAGAATGTATGTTTTGTACTCACCTGAAAATGTAGTACAGCTTTAAATATGAGCTTACCCAACAAAATATTCAAGGAGTGGTTCTGTTCCCACACAGTGCTGGTAAATGCATGAGCAACCCACCATACTTAGTTGGTGAATTTAGGAACCTCAGGTCATGTAATTTATCTAGTTCACTGGCAGATACACACACACACACACACAATGTATATAATATACAAACTATATATATGTCTGTGTGTATATGTATTTTAATTATAATATTTTAAAATTATTACTAAATTACTGTATTTTAATTTCAGAAAGCCAATAGATTTTAGAAAATAATTTACTTGAAGATAAGATTTCTAATTCTTTTGCTATTCCAAGGATAATCTTATAAATGTCAAATGTGACTAATTTTTTATGTCAAATTTGTTCAAAATAATAAAGTATTATATGGCTTGACAAAACAGTTCTTAGGAACATTGCTAGATTATGTTTCCTTCAGAAACTTGTTATATTTAATTATAACAGATTTAAGTGGGAAAGTAATGTTTCCTCCCTGTTATCATGAAAAAACATAAATTTGGGATCCAGATCTAGAGAAATAAGTTTAAGGTAAGGAAACTGATTTTACAAATTTCCCTATGTAATTACCTTTGTAGAACTGATACACCACTTCCTATGCCTCATTCAACTCTTAACAATATCAGAGATGCAGGACGGATACTCTTACCTAGAATTGCACTGATTATTCTAACATCAAGCACTAACTAAACAGTTTGTACATAAAATTGGTAACACCCATTCCTTCACAGTCTGACATTTCTGTGAGAATCCACAAGCAGTTTTCTTTGGGTAATCTGAGCCAGGGAGGAGGAGAGCATGGCCTATCTTCAGGCTTCCCTGAAGGGGCACAGCACACATTCTTAATGCCTAGACAGTAATCCCCAGCATCGCTCTCCTCCCCGTTCTTCCAGACCCAGAGGCCCCACAGCAGTCCCTGGTATCCTCTAGCATAAGACTCGCGACCTGCTTATTACTTATTGCTCTTATTGCGGAATTCCCAGGTACACATGTCTTTGTCTTTTGTATACTAAGCAGAGTTTTTACCTTTCTGAGTCAAGTGAGGACCCTCTCCCCATCCAATCTGTAGACTGTTTTCTAAATGAAACCTTCTTTGATGTCACTGATCTGCAGTGGGTTTTCTGTCTAGTGTTCATCAGCACATGACAGTATCAAGTAAAGCTACAACTTTAGCATAGCATTCACCTTAAGTTTGATTTCACTAATCTTGTTCTGCTTAATAAAGACTCTGGATCTTCGAAGACTCCTATTAAAGTTTTAACTCTTCTGAAAGAATTCTAGATTTCAGACAGGATTTCTAACATATGCAGAATACTTAAAAACCAAGCTCTGTGACAGAACCAGAAAGACATTTTTTGAACCAGTGCTACCTCTACTGAAAAGCTAATTATGCAAATTCACTTAAAAAAAGTTTAAAAAAAATCGTTGTACCTTAAATTTATGGAGAAACCACCACCAAAAGGAATCATGCAAAAGAGCAATAGAGGCTTCTGAGAGAAAATGAGTCCTCCAGATCTTAAAAAATTTTCCCTATGGAAAAAAAAGACAAATGGAGATCAACTTAGTATACATTATAAAACATGTTAATGTAAATAGGCTTTATAAAGAATATGCATTCAATAGTTACAGACTGGCACTGTTCAACAGAAATTTAATGGGAGGTATATATGCAATATTAAATTTTCCAGTAGACATTTTAAAAAGTAAAAGGTGAAATTTAAGTGATATATTTTATTTAATCAAATATATTTTAAAGTATTATCATTTTAATATATGATTAGTATAAAATTATTATTGAAACATTAATAATTCTTGCATTCTTTTGGGTACCAGCTCTTTGAAATACAGTGTATATTTTATACTTATAGCACATCTCAATTTGAACACTAAATTTTCATCATAAATACTGGACCATAATTTGTTCATAAAATATATGGTTGTAATTTTGTTCCAGCCATATTGAAAGTTATTCAATAGCTGAATCAAGTATTAGTTTTTAAATTTATATATAGTCAAAATAAATAAAATTTTAAAATTGAGCTGAGTCACACTGGGGACATTTCATATGCTCAATAATCATATGTGATTAGTGGTCATTGAAACGACAGTACAGGTTAAACCAAGAACAGCAAAAATCCAAGACACATGCTACAATTTCCTTTTTATGCTGACAACAGGTGTCAATCATGGAAATCTATCCCAATGGGTCCATCCTAAGTCTAGACCCTATCTAAATGCAATGTTCTTTCTAAGCAGTCAATCAAAATTGGCACGTAAAATCAATTTACCATGACTACTAGAGACTATAAATCTTGGTTTCAATAGGTGCATTTAACAGATCATTTTATCTTATTCACTCAAAGTTTTTAAATGCCAGATTCAGTAGAGCTCAAGATTTTTTTTCATGAAATCCAGAGAAATTAATTTCTGTCCCTCGTGATTTATGATACGTGTACATGCATCCATGCTTAAAATACATTCTGATGTCAGAACACATAATGTTAGAGTTAAAAAGATTATAGATTATCTACAACATTCATAAGATTACCTTAGCAGTAATTTGTATTAATTTCTTCTTATAACAATGAAATCTTTCCCCTGAGGAAACTGCAAAACATAGTCAGCGAAAATAATACATATGCTCATGGCCAGGCATAACAACTACCATCTATAGCTTTTCTCTTAAAAAAGTGGAATCAGGTGATTCTATCATAAGAGCAGGCTAAAACTTCCCCTTCACCAAAATCCCATAGAATATAAATGAGAATTGAAAACATCTATATCAGCACAGAAAGTAAGTGTCATTACTGAATCATTTCAGGTGGAGTTGTCAATTGAGGTGCTCTGTGGCTCCCCAATGAGAAGCAAACAGGAGATCCAGGCCAGGTTAATCAGACTATTTCTTGGAACACTCTCTTGAAGATGAAACACTGAAGAGATACACTCTTCCATCTTGAAGAGAGTTAAAAATGAGTACAAAATAATGTTTAACGGTTGATTATACACCTTGTGATGGACTAGCAGGAGAGAAAATAGGGATTTTTGTGTTGAGAAAGGAAGGCTGGGGGTGAGGGATGGGGAAGACAGCCTATGAGCGGCCAAGTCCATTTCAGACAACTGAGAGGAGTCTGCCTGGAGGTACAAGGAGCATTGTTCAAATCCCCAGGAAACAGAAACATTTTTAGGTGACTACTTAACATTAAGCAGTGGAAATCAATACCAGTAACCACTCAGCCCTCCTCCTACCCCTGGCAATCAATGGCCAAGGATCTAGTTACCTTCCTGTGCCTGCATTTTTCATCAGTTAGCTACCCTATAGGGATGCTACTCAAAAATTCCCCAGACACGTGGAGGTTCAAAAAGTGGGTTGTGAGGAAGGGCTCTCATTAATTACTCTGGGATCAAAATGAGCAGGCTAATATATCCTGAGCTGATAGGGCAGGAAGAGGGAGGGGAAAACACCTGCTACAGTCATATGCCAAACCAATGCACACTAGTAACCTCTGCCGCCTGAGGCAGTAACAGAATCCAATGTATTATCTTCTGGTGATCAGGGTGTTAAAAAGTATCACTGGTCTTTCCTGTCAGATATAATGCCCAAAAGAATTAAATCTTTCTTAACACCTAATTTGCCATAGCTTTCAATAAAGGTCTGATTCATTAAATTATACTCTCAAAAACTTATTATACAATCAAAAAAAGAATTGTTTACATACATCAAAGTTATGGGCTTTTAAAATAAAAAGATAAACTCGTTCAGCATTCAGATGTCTGGGTAGTTGAGTAAGCTCATTTGTCTTGAATCCTGGGAAGCTGTAACCCTAAAGAGAGAGAAATTTGACAGAACAGGAATTACTTCACTCTTTTCAGTTCAGTAGTCTCATGACTACAGAAGACAGATAAAGATTTAACTATTGTTCATTAACAATCATCTTACTTACTTTTTAATAAAATAAGTGAAAAATACTTATCCCACCCAAGAGAAATCTTCATATTATCTGTTTCTATGAAATTAAGAGTCCTGGCATATTTATAAGCCAAATCCAAAAGTAAAACAATACCATGTTTCAGAACTAATTTCGATATAACTCAAATTATCAAGAATTTTAGCTAGACTACATCTAAAGAAATGAACTAGGCACAAAGAGACAGCTTCTGTACTTGTCCCCAACTCTCTCTCCTCGGGCTTCTATCTATATTTATAGCTACATCTACATTATTATAAACATTCTTTTATTGCCACAATACTTTTGATACACAATCTTGTAAAACAGAAATTTTAAATACCTCTATATCCTTCTTCGTTTCCATTTCATCTGAAAGCTGGAAAACATTTAAAATAAAATCTTTAAAATTCTAAATTTAAGAATTCTTATATTTTGTAACTTTGTTAACTTGTGTGTGTGTGTGTGTGTGTATCTCCTACTGAGGCCTAAATGCTGTTGCTGTATTAGTTGCTGGTAATACAAAGATGTTCCTTGCCTTCAAGTTAGTCAGAGTTCAAGAGGGGAATCAGACACATACACAAACAAAACACAAAGAGGTGAGAACTATAACAGAAAGATAAACCACTTACTGCAGGTTGGGTTCACTGGGAATCAGACTGTGCAGTGGAATTCGGTGTTCAGAATGTTTACTGGAGTGCCTTTGGGATCAATGTCTATAGAAGGCAAGGGGAGGGGCAAGATCGGGGAGATGGAAAAGTCAGCTATGATTCCAGTCTAACAGCCCTGACCCTAAGAAAAGCTCTGGAACTGAAAGGACCCATAGTAGTCATCCTGCACTGGGTTGAAACAGCTAGGCATTTGTTTCCTAGTTGATTAGTCATTATATGTGAGTGGCTCCTGAATGGGCACGTCCTTGGGAGAGGAAGTTCTCTCTAGGTGAGGGAATCCTTGAAGGGGCTATAGCTGAAAGGTGTCCCCATCAGCACTCTCCGCAGTAGGGCAACAGATCAAATTCCTTGAAGGGGAATCTGGGTGGCACATCTCTGTGTCCACCATACTACTTCTACACGGAGAATAAGAAGCCTTCCATATAAATTAGTTTTTGATCATCTAGACATATTAACACATTGCTTATTAATTTCCAGATTCCCATTTCTGCCAAAATACATAAGCTGTATACACATATGCACACATTACACACATACATATATTATAGAAGAGATGACATAGGAAACAAATTTGAAAAGATGATTACTGATGGCTAAATGAAAGAGGATCACATTATTGGCAATTTAAAAAATGTGCAAAGGGATAAGAGAAGGAAAGTGAGATCAATTATGATAAGAAAGAAGGCTGTGCACTTGAGAGCTACAGAATATAATTGGTCAGTAAAGATGGGATCAGATTTAGAAAGATGTTAATGTTAATCTCAATATCCTGGCTTTATTTTGCAGAAAGCAAAGGAACACTGGAAGTTTTCAATGAGCTGAGTAATAGTAGTAACACAAAACTAGTTTTTGGTCACACAACCTGGAAAAGATACTGTAACACAAATATAAATAATACATGTTAAAATCCTTATAAAAATCCAATAAAACATTTAGTAATAAAATTATTAAACTTTTTAGTATAATTCATCTAAAGTTCATTTCAATAGATCCTGTAAAGTCATCTGATAAAATTCAACATACAGAATTTTTGAAATTCTTTTGAAAGTTAATAGAGAAATTATAAAGAGTAATGTAACAACCAGTGTTCCTGTATTCCAACATAAAATGGTTTACTGTTGACATTTTAATATTTGCTTAAGACTATTTCTTAAGATAAAATATGAAGTTTATGTATAATAAAATATGAAGCTCAGGTCCCCTTTTACCAGGATTTCTAGTTCCTTTTCCGTGTTCCCCTCTGAGATAGTGACCATCATTTGCTTGTATCCCCTCAATTCCATTAAAATATTTTTACGTATATATGTATACATATAAAGACTATACAGACTTTTGGTATATTTTTACAATTTAAAGAAATTATTTCAACTGTACAAATTATTTGGTAACTTGCTTTTTTTTCACTCAGTATTATGTTTCGACAGTCGCGAAGTTGTTATTTATGGGACCTGTTAACTTTCACACAGCTTTCCTACCAACCTACCTAATCCCTTGGCAAAACATAAATAATAAAGCATTAAAAGTTCACAGGAAACTTTTGCCAAAAGTCAAAAACAAATGATGTCCCTATATTCAACAAATTATTTATAGACTAAAAAGAGACATGAAGCTAAATGACTCATTTTCTAAGGTTTGTATAATTTTGATAACACAACCAAAAAAGATAATCATATATTATCATACATAGATGTAAATATCCAAATAGCAAAGCAAATCCACTAATGCATTAAAAAATATATCCTAATACAAGAATGGTTTGACCTTCTGAAAAGATATTAATGTAATCAGCCACATTCACAGATGAAAGACTGAAAGTAGTTTCTGTTACCATCACAGCTGATTATTTTCCTCTCCATTTCAAACCATGGAGATTATTTAGTTTTTGAGCACAGTGACATCTATATTCAAATCTAATCTATATTTAATCTACATCTATATCCACATCCATACATCTTTAATAAACTAGGAATAAGAAGTTTCTTTGATCTGAAAAAAAACAGCTATCTAAATATTCAAAATTATACTTAATAGCTAAGTACTCACATCCTTTCTGAGTCACAGACAAGATGAGAAATGCTAACATTGTTGAATAATATATCTATACCAATAATAATTTCCTATATACGAACAATAAACCATTGAATGACATAATGGAAAAATAATCTCATTGACATTAGTAATAAAAATCGAAGATGCCCAGGAATAAATTTAACAGGGAATGTGTATAACTTCTATGAAGAAAACCACACATTCACTCACATGTGGAATATAAAAAAACAAAAAACACCCCAAATAAATGAACAAACCAAATCAAAGGAAAAACTAACACACAGATAAAGAGAACAGAGTAGTGGTTAACACGGGGGAAGAGGTAGGAGGGAGGGCTAAATGAGTAGAGGGGATCAACTATATGGCGTGACGAATGGAATCTATATTTTGGTAGTGAACATGTTGTAGGGTATACAGAAGCAGAAATATAATGTTGTACACATGAAACTCATGTAGTACTATAAACCAATGTTACCCCAATAATAAATAAATTTTTAAAAGCACCCACAAGTTTACTGATAGACCTAATAAGATTCTTATGTTTTATACCCTTACACAAAGCTATTAAAAATAAATATTAGATGAATTAAAGAGTTAAACACACAAAAATAAATCTGTAAGAACAATACAAGAGAACATAGGTGAACATATATATGATCTTGTAATGAAGAAAGCCTTCTTAAATATTATGGCACTAAAGGCAGAAAATTTCAGTAGAAAACTATAGATCCATAAAAATATAAAATTTTATATAGCAAAAAATACTTTGGGTTAAAAGGCAACAAAAAAGTAATATGTATAACATATTACTGAGAAAGATTAGTAGTTTTACTTAGAAATAAAAAATAGCTAAAAAATGGCCAAAGTTCATAAACGGGCAATTTACAGTAATAGAAACACAAAAGCTAATGTAAAAAATCAATTTCATTAGTAAAACATATGCAACTGATAACCTTTATGCCTATCAATTTGCAAGCATTAAAAATTTAACATTAAATGTTGACAAGGGAATGAGTAAGGGATCAATCACAAATTCTATTGTTACAAACATAAATTGGTGCCACTTTCTGGAGAACAATTTGGCCATGTGTATCAAAACACTTAGATTTTCACATTTTTCCCCCATGTGGTTCTGCTTCTGAAATTTATCTTAAGAAAAATTTTCACTCCAACTATGTTTACATCAGCTTTGTAAATAATGAATAATGAAAACTAATCTAAATGTCCCAACAAAAGGGCTATTACATTAGTTTATTTTTTAAATGGTGTAGAATAATATTTAATGATGAAAATTCCATAAAACACTAAACGAAATTTAAAAGACAACATTTAAGGAGGTAAACGGACAAGTGGTGGCACTTAAAGTCCTTATAGCTTTTACATTATATAATTTTAGAATGTATTAAAAAGTATTAAGTTTCTGAAAGTAATTCAAAAGCCTATTATAAAATTGTAACCCAACTCTGAGTTTTTTTTAATTGACAAATTCTATAGGCAATCAAAAATATTTTTTTTCTAAAGGAAGAAGATTGATATGGGACCTGTACCACTAGGCACAAGATGTTATAAATTATTAAATAACCAGAGGATGTAATATAAGTCTTCAAATAACTTGGAGAGATGTCAAATGCCAACACTCCAATACTGAGTGTGTGAAGATGAATTTAAATCCAGTTATTTTAAAAACAGTGATAAATAGATAGATGATGGGAGACTAAGAGGAAAAAATTATTTAATGTTATCAGTGCTTATCTATTACAATGATTATCTATGAAATTACAATGATTATATTTTTCTGTGAAAATATAATTTCTCAAGGAAGATAAAAACAAATACCATACCATTATCTTCTTTGTCTTATGGTATTTCCTTAGAAATGCCCTGTAGTGTTCCAATTTTCCATGGGAACCTTTAAAAAAATGAGAATTCACAACATATAAATATACTATCCTTTAAAATAGAAAAAAAATATACTTTAAGCAAATTATATATAAAACTATTCAATAAGATCAACCAGCTATTTTGGTAAGTATAATGCTAGACACAGTCTTAGTTGAATAAATAATTATATCTCCTGTTTCTTCTTATTTTTTAGAAATGTCACGTTCCAACTCATATGTCTTTAGTACTTATTCCTTTATCTAAAGTTTTACCTTAATCCCTTCCTACTGAACAAGCGCATGTTTTTCAAATAGCACAGCCACTTATATTTGGTTGATTCATGGTCAGCTTAAATTCAATAAAGTGCAGTACTTTGGAGCATGGCCCAGTGAAAGACTATGGGGGGCTCTGAAGTCATGTAACCTAGAGTCCAAGCTCTGATATTTACATACTGAGGACAATGAACATATGAAAAAGTATTTTTTAAAAGTTCACACTTGCTCTCTGTCCCTGTATGTTTATATAGACACATAACATGTGTATGTATTCAGCTTGTACAATTTCAAGAAAAATTTTTGATTAAAATAAGAAATTAAATATGAATATTTTAACAGTAGTGAGTTAATAGTATTAGATTTAAATACATTCTCAGATTTTGAAAATGCAAGGCCCATAAAAGGATATTAAATGCTAAGTAATATAACTAATTAAATTTAATACATAGAAAATACTTAACAAGTACAACCAACATCATTTTTAAGACTTATATACAAGTCTGCCCATTAAATCAAGAATAATGCGTGAATTACCAGTA